AAGCTTTTGCACAGCAAAGGAAACAGTTAACAAAACCAAAAGACAACTGACAGAATGGGAGAAGATATTTGCAAATGACATATCAGATAAAGGGCTAGTGTCCGAAATCTATAAAGAACTTAGCAAACTCAACACCCAAAGAACAAATAATCCAATCAAGAAATGGGCAGAGGACATGAACAGACATTTCTGCAAAGAAGACATCCAGATGGCCAACAGACACATGAAAAAGTGCTCCACATCACTCGGCATCAGGGAAATACAAATCAAAACCACAATGAGATACCACCTCACACCAGTCAGAATGGCTAAAATTAACAAGTCAGGAAATGACAGATGCTGGCGAGGATGCGGAGAAAGGGGAACCCTCCTACACTGTTGGTGGGAATGCAAGCTGGTGTAACCACTCTGGAAAACAGCATGGAGGTTCCTCAAAATGTTGAAAATAGAACTACCCTATGACCCAGCAATTGCACTGCTGGGTATTTACCCTAAAGATACAAACGTAGTGATCCGAAGGGGCACGTGCACCCAAATGTTTATAGCAGCAATGTCTACGATAGCCAAACTATGGAAAGAACCTAGATGTCCATCAACAGACGAATGGATAAAGAAGATGTGGTATATATACACCATGGAATACTATGCAGCCATCAAAAGAAATGAAATCTTGCCATTTGCGACGATGTGGATGGAACTAGAGGGTATCATGCTTAGTGAAATAAGTCAATCGGAGAAAGACAACTATCATATGATCTCCCTGATATGAGGGAGAGGAGATGCAACATGGGGGGTTAAGGGGGTAGGAGAAGAGTAAATGAAACAAGATGGGATTGGGAGGGAGACAAACCATAAGTGACTCTTAATCTCACAAAACAAACTGAGGGTTGATGGGGGGAGGGGGGTTGGGAAAAGGGGCTTGGGATTATGGACATTGGGGAGGGTATGTGCTATGGTGAGTGCTGTGAAGTGTGTAAACCTGGCGATTCACAGACCTGTACCCCTGGGGATAAAAATATATTATATGTTTATAAAAAATAAAATTAAAAAAAAACTGATGTCTAACAAAAATATTATTGAATTCAATCACTTGTTTATATTCTTGGACTTGACTGGACATGACTCTGAATAACAAAGTCATTTCTAAAAATTCAATCTCCCTTTAAGGGATTTTGATTTGCAGCCAATAGCATTATTTAAAAGCAGGAGGTGCAGATCCTTTCAGAAAATGGTGCTTTACCTCCCTACTATTTTTATCTTCCAGTATGAGCCTGTGTGTAGTATGTGTGTGTGCAGAATGTATACATCTATTTTATGTGTAGGCTGTGCATCTATTACAGCTGACATGGATTTTGTTCTTGTCTTTAATTTTTAATTTAAATTTGATTTTTAAGTTCATAATGCATTAACACATTGCAAATTCAAAGGGCATAAAGAGGGAAGGTTTTTCCTCCCTTCCCTGTCTTAGAGCCCTCCTCTCCCCTCTTGGAGGCAGGCAGTATAAACAATTTCAGATGTATCCTTCCAGATCTGTTCTATGCATATACATGCATGTATTTGTTTTCTCTCTGATATATACAGAAAGGGAAGCATACTATGTGTCCTGTTTTGTGCCAGCTTTTCTTTTGACAGGGCATCTTTGAGATCAGTCCAAGATCAGCTAAAGAGTTTCCTATTTTTTGTATAGCATTTGCTACGTTGATGTACCACAATTTTTTAAAGCATCGTACTTGAGTTATTTCTAATCTTTTGCTATTAAAAAAAAAAAATGTACTGCAGGGACACCTGGATGTCTCAGTCAATTGAGCATCTGACTCTTGGTTTTGGCTGAGATCATGATCTCGCCGGTCCTGAGATAAAGTCCTGCATTGGGCTCTGTGCTCAGCAGGGAGTCTGCTTCAAGATTCTCTCCCCCTGCCCCTCCCTCTACTTGCCTGGTGCATGCTCTCACTCTCTCTCAAATACATAAATCTTTTTAAAGATATACTGCAAAGAATGAATTTACACATACAACATTTTGCCCCAGGTAGATAGCTAGTATAAATTCCCAGAACTAGAATTAAGGATATACATGCATTTTAAATTTTGGTGGAAATTGCTCAGTTGTTCTTATTAGAAGTTATGCCAATTTTCATACTCAGCAGTGGTATGATTTATCTTTTTCCATAATCACAACAGCACAGAATTGTCAAATTTATTTCTGCTAAATTGATGCATTCATTGTAGGGTAAACTGAAGTTTGTATCTAAAGGCACTGGTATTTCCTCATCGGCTTGTTGTTTCGCTACATTGTTGATCTTTTTCATGTTGGTTTCTATGAGTTCTTTCTATTTCGGGGAAACTAACCTTCATTGTATGAGTTGGATACAGTTTTCCCCAGTTTTTCCTTTGGCTTTTGATTTTGCTTGCAGTAGTTTTTGCTATGCAGAAATGTTTTAGCCATATATAGTCAGATTTACTTATTTGTTTTGCTTTCTGGATTATGTGTGATACATAGGTTTTTTCCCCTCCTACATTATTTTTAAAATTTTCCCATATCTGTAATATTTTTATTAAATGGTTCATCCATCTGGAGTTTATTTGGTTTAAGGTGAAAAGGATGGATCCAACTTTATTTCTTTTTTTCTAATGATTCTTTTGTTGACATAAATTTTGAGTTTAAAAATATTTCAAGGGCCATACTGTGATATAAGAAAGTAGGTGATACTGATTAAGCCATATGCATTCTAAATTTCCTGTTAATTTTTAATGCCATGGGGATTCTTCATTTTTTTTTTCATATGGTCAGGAAATAATTATTTATCCTGTATCATAGTTTTTAAATTAGCCTACAAGAAACTACCATCTATACTGTACAGACTACCTGCTCCTCATTCTCCTCACCTTAATGTTACCCTCCCTATCCCATTCCTTCTTGCAAAACACCATCATTTCTTCTGTCCCTTTTGTGTTCATAAGTGCCACTTAAAAATTCCCATGGAAAAAAAAAAATCAAGCAAAATGTTGATGTTGGCTTGCCTTTGTATTGGTGAGCAGTTTGCAAATTCATAGTTTTGTCCACTAAGTTTAAATTACCACTTTCGCTTTTAATACAGTTGGTTCTTATTTTGAAATGACATGAGTGTCTTAATTTTATCTGTTTACAATGACTAAAAGTGAACATCTTAGATTTCAGAGAGGGTTGTTGAGAGCTCCGTGCCTGAGTTATCCAACCCAGGCTATGTGGATTAGCAGATGAGTTGTTTATGGCTCTTATGATCTTGGAGAAGAAGTCACTTTCTGACTGAAGAGTTCTTATTTAATGTTATTCATGGTATAAGCTTCATTGATATATGGAGGGTGGAAAGTGTCCATATAAAGATTTCAGTTGCATATCTAATGTTATTTGTTTCAAATACATTTGAAAGTTATATCAATTATGGTAACTGATTTATGAGATAAAAGGGTTTCTGGTGAGATTAATAAGACATAGCTTCAGATTTGTGAAGGCTTTTAGTCTGGAATTCTTTGGAAGGAAAATAGACCTCCACATGCAAGATGTTACTGTGATTATTCTTTGACATTTCAATTTATCTAACAAATAAGTGGGAATGTATAACTAAGAACCATTAATGAATAAATTTTAATAATAGGGAGACTTTCTGGAGCCCCAGGAATAAACTATTTTTAAGAAATGATAGTATTTGGAGGAGAAATGTATGCCAATTTTTTTGCGTTCCCATTGATAAGTCCTTTAAAAGATCTTGGATTTTTCCCTCCGTCTTTAAAACTAGAGGAAAAGGAATAATGTCTTTATTCTGCTTCCTAGGGATGTTTTGAGAATTCAAAACTACTACATTCTAATGAAGATGTACTATATTCCAGTTCTCAGAATTAATAGATCAAACTGCTACATGTAAATAAAGATGTATCTTACTATAAACCTTCTAACTTCCTCCTTTGGTTGTATTTCATTGATACTGTGTATGTTTAATTATATCAGATTCTTTTTTTCTTTAGTGATTTCTTCTTCCTTTCAAACAGCTGGCTTTAAAGATACAAAACTCTTGGTATTTGGCAAGCTGGCAATGATAATACTCTGTAACTGTAAAAATTATGATCAAAAGCTTTCTGGGCTACAGTTACTTAGTATTGGACACATTATCTTTCCTTGGTGAATTAATTCTAGAATTTTCTTCTATGCACAAAAGCTTAGATGTATGTATTTTCACTGAACATTGCAAAGTATAGCCTTCGGGTTTGACATTCCCACTTACGTGTTCTATGTTCTTCCTTTTAATCTCAACATTTTGATATTAAGTTGCATGGCCATGAGATTTGTAATAGCTAGATTACAGAGGCAATTCTGACTCCATTTATTTCATGTGAAGTACATAAGTGTTTGCTCATCTAAAGGTAATCCCAACACCAAAAAAATCCCCTACATTTTTATGATTTGTTCTTACATATGCAGGACAAATATGATATATACATAAATATATCAGATATTTCTTAGTGAAAGATGTTGATAAGATGTATATAAAATTTATTGCTCATATTTTTATGTTCCATATGATAATCATGTAGTGTTAGTCTCTACAAATAAAGATTTCTCATAGGCTAAAGTAAAAGAGTCAATTTTCTTTTATAACTTTATTCTCAAATTCTAAAAACTTGAAAAATTATGGAAATAGAAATTCACTTCTAGGTATTTTAGCAGTGTTGTTACTTTTTTAAAAATCTTTTTAAGCTTCATGTGATTACAGTGTAATTCCACTGCAGAAGAATGAGCTATAAAATACTATTTTTTATTACACTGTAGAAGTCTATCACATTTTAGGATGCTTGAAAATAATGTATGGTGCAGTTATGAAGTCTATGGTATCTTATCTAGAAATGAGGACTAAATTATATTTAATCTATTAAAGGTTTACAGGCATGATGATTTATTTAAAAAGCAAGTGACAAATAGATCAGTGGCTTATATAAATGAACCAGATTTGCTCCATTTTCCCCTTCAGGCAGAGCTCACAGTTTGGAGACGAAAAAACATTTAGTGATACATCATTGCTGGAAAACCTCCAAAATAATCACGTAAGCAACATAAAACCATTATCTTTTTGTTGATGAGTGAAAGCTAATGAGTATTTCTCTGAATTATCTTCCATGTTTGTATATTCTTTTTTTTTTTTTTTTAGTTTCATGATCATTTTTAATACTTATCCAGATCTTTTACTTTTTTCAAATCCATTTTACTTGGCCCACACAAATTCATGGCTATTAGGAATTTAGTTTTGAAATTCTTGTTAATCGATATTCTATCTTTTCAAAGTATCTTACATTAAATAATTAATAGAATTCTATTTGCATAGAATAGCTCACTACACCATTTCAGACTATCTGTTTGGCAGGTCCCCAATCTATACAAAAAGAATTCTGGAAACTTCTACCCAGTGTGACCATTGTACTTGTGAAGTTACTGACACTTAACAAAAATTCCATCAGATCAAATGGTATGGCTTCCTGGGGTTTTAACCCCAGAACCTTTTCTCATCATCACTCCAAGCTCAATATAGCAAAGCCTACTCTCAAACTCATTACCTCAGAACAGGCTCCTTGAGCACAGGTGGCTTACTGACCTGTGCGGCGGGGTGGAGCTCTAGCAAGGTGTCTTACAGGTACTTTTGGGATCCTTTCTTCTTAAGCAAACCTTCTATAGAATATGAGGTTCAGGATCCACAAGACCTAGACCACTTCTTCCCTCTGCGTTCTCTTGTTTGGATTGCTCCATCACCTATTTTAATTCTCTTTCCAGGAACTTAAGAGCTGCTTTGGATGCCTCCTTTTCCATCCATCTCCAGCTCTATAGAGTGGCCAAGCCCTTGTCAATTGCAACTTCTAGAATATATCTGAAATATCTTCCTTACTTCATTCTCACTTTCCCCTCCCCGAGTCCACGCCAGCCTCCCCTTGCCAGTCTCCTTGTATCCACTCCGCTCTTTTCTTTCTCCTCAGGCCACACTGGCTTTTATTTTCTCAAACACGCCTCATTCTTTCCTTCTATAGGATCTTTTCAGTCTTAGGTGATCCCTGCTTGATGGAAAACCCTTGGCTCAGTTCTTCATGAGGCTGAAACTGCAGCTTAAATCTCACATTATCTTGAGAATAACCAAAGACTGGCCCAGATCACATTACATGATATTTGCACATTCTCTCCTTTATAGTCCTTTCACAGTATAAGTAAATATTTATGTATTTATCTGTGTCTGTCTTCCCCACAAGCTAGGCTTCACACAACAAGGACCATGTCTGTTTTGTGTACTGTACTAACCTGAAAATAGATTTTTCAAATAATGTTGTGATTTACCTTCCCAATCACTTCACTTGTTTTTTGGTTTTTTGTTTTGTTTTTTAGTCCAAGGGCAGAAAAGAATATTTTTTATTTGATATTTATCTTCATCCGACCAAACAGCAAGATGTTTAATTTAAAAGATCTGGCTTCTGGGGCACCTGGGTGGTTCAGTCTGTTGGGCATCTGACTCTTGATCTCAGCTCACGTCTTGATCTTGGGGTCATGAATTTGAACCCCAAGCTGGGCTCCATGCAGAGGGTGAAGCCTACACACAGAGAGAAAGAAAGGAAGGAAGGAAGGAAGGAAGAAGGAAGGGAGGAAGGAAGGAAGGAAGGGAGGGAGGAAGGAAGAAGAAAAGAAGATCTGGCTACTTTTCTCCTATAAACTCTAAGTTCCTTGCAGAAAGGATCCACTTTTATGTCTTCCTCAGGCTGTAAGAATCCATCCCATTATACATAGCAATTGCTCAAGCAATTCTTTTTATTTAGTAAAACATGTATCAGGTTAAGGCCATCATTTGTGGAGAGAGAAGGACAAGGCATTACAGAGGAATCCTCTGCCATCATCACCCCAGCACAAAATGGTGGAACCCCAGTAAGATCAGATGCCAAAAGTTTAAATCTAATCAGGAATTAGATCGAGGTAAATGAGCATTTTAGTATTTCTCTCCTGTCTTCTGAGAACAGGGTTTGACCATATCTACCTTTTTTCACTGTGCTGTTTTCATTTGACACACCAAGTTGTTTTGTGTAAATGTTTGGGAAAATGAATGAAAGAGTGTAAGAATGAATGATTTTAGTTAAAAATATGTTTTCCTCATAACAGAGATTGGCTTCTTTGTTGTCTATAACCTCGCACCTTCAATGCTGAACAGCTATAGTCTTAATAGACATAAGTAATTTTGCAGTCATTAGTGTCAAAATGTTTAAATGAAAAGGGTTGAATTGTGTGTTTCTTTCTTACAGCCAACCGCACCTATAATATGTGAATTTCTTACAATGATGGCAGTTTGTCACACAGCAGTACCAGAGCGAGAAGGTGATAAGATTATTTACCAAGCAGCATCTCCAGGTACAAAGGAAGGAATTAGAATATATTTTTCCAGTGGAAAATTTTCTGAAATTTGAGGTTGTCTAGAAAAAAATCAGTTTAATTTGGAAAAAGTAAAATAGCCAAGTTATGTTTTTAAATAACAAAAATGTATTTATTAATTAGAAAACCTAGTTTTCAGAATTAAATATATATATATATATATATATATATGTTAAAATATATAACCTTGGGGCGCTTGGGTGGTTCAGTGGGGTAAAGCCTCTGCCTTCGGCTCAGGTCATGATCTCAGGGTCCTGGGATCAAGCCCCGTGTCGGGCTCTCTACTCAGCTGGGAGCCTGCTTCCCTTCCTCTCTCTCTCTCTCTGCCTGCCTCTCTGCCTATTTGTGATCTCTGTCTGTCAAATAAATAAATAAAATCTTTTAAAAAAATTAAAATATATAACCTTATATACATAATTTTTAGCATATGACGTAAATTGTATGGAAATTGGAATAATAAAATTCACACAAAAAGTACTTTTTTATACACATAGTAGTCTCCTCCCTTCTTTGAAATTAACAATTTTGCTGTCCTCTTCTGGAAATGATAATCAGGAAGCTTGTTGCATAATTTGGATGAAGAAAGTTCACCATTTGAAAGAGATGCCATAAAATATGTATTAGCATGGTTATCAATATTTAATGCTGAGGCTTAATTTTAAACTTGTTTTCAGTGTAAAATTGGGCAGTTTGATGATTTTGAGATTTTAGGAAAGAAGGAAGGGAACATACTTTAAAGACCTTTGTTTTAGTGTTTTAACTGTACTCTAAACCAGCACCTGTGACCTTGCAGAATGTACCAAATTCCTAAAAAGCAGAAGAAATGTTACATCTCATATTGTTAGGATGGACCCTATGTGAGTGTTTCTTATCCCTGCCCACAGCAACAAGAAAGTTTGATGTAATATGGTGATGAAAGTAATAGATAATAAAACGAACATCAGTTCATTTATATCCATTTCTTTTTTTTCCCTTTGTCCAAGTTTCTCTCTTTTTTGAGTAGAGTTGACACATAGTGTTGCAGTAGTTCCAAATGTACAGCTTCATGCATTTATATCCATTTAAATTGAATCCTCAATTCGCATTTCTCTACATTCAGTGGTTTAGGAGGAAAAGCATAAAACATAAGACGATGTTGTGCATTTATTTTGAGAAAAAAATTTTTATAGAATATTCTGGACCAATGGTACATTTAAATTACCCTTCTTAGGTGTGTTAACAGTCAAATATGACTCCTGGTTCCATACAAGTCTCAGATCCTTAAGATGAGTCTTCTCGTTCCTTTGGCATCTTCGTATGATTTCAAAAGAAATGGATTTCAACAGGGGCCAGGATAAACAGAATTTTAATTCTTTTAACATTCAATAGAAAAATGTAGTGATGTAGTTCTGTTTTATGAGGGGTAATTATCTTACCTTACCATGTATTTGCTTTTACCTTTTTTCCTAAAACAGATGAAGGAGCATTGGTCAGAGCAGCCAAGCAACTGAATTTTGTTTTCACTGGAAGAACACCGGACTCAGTGATTATAGACTCAGTAAGTTATTTCTTTTTAAGTGTCTTTTTCTTCAAAGCAGTGACATGTGCATAACTTAAAGATAAAATAATATCAAAGGATCATAATAAAATAGAGGTTCCCTGCCCCAGAAGCAGCCACTTTATCTCTTTCTTCAGACATTTATAAATCTATTTTCAAAAACATATGTGATGAATGATATCTGTTTTCATTCCTCCATTTGAACACATCTAGTGACTTTGTCTTCTGTTATGTTAAATGAGGATTTATCTCTCTTGATTCACTATCCCTTCCCGGAATATATATTAACTATATCACTATATATTACTATAATTACATTACAGCTTTTAGTGAAACAAGTATTCAGACCTAATTTTTAAAATACACAAAAGACTTGAGCAGACATTTCACAAAAGAAGATATACGAATGGCCACTGAGCATGTAAAAAAAAAGAAATCATTAGCCATCAGTGAAATGCAAATTGAAATCGCAATGAGATGCTATATACATACCCACCATAAAATTAAAAACACGGTCCGTACCAAATGTTAATGAGAATAGAGAGTTTGTGAAGCACCCATGTGTTGTCGGTTGAAGTGTGAAATGGCACGAGCCCTTTGGAAAGCCTCAGGGTTTTCTAACACAGATAAACAGGCACCTGACCCAGCAATTGTACTCACAGTTACCCAGGAGAAATGAAAGCTTGTGTCCACAAACAGATACCTAATGGAATGTTCACAGCAGCTTTATTCAAAGTAGTCAAACATTGGCAACAAACCAAACATCCGTCCGCAAGAGAAGGGGTGAGCAAATTGTGATATACACTTCCAGTGGACTTCCAAACAATAAAAAAAGGAAGGAATTGTGGATTCATCAACAACATGGATAAGTCTCAAAAACATCATGTCGAGCCGACAAAGCTAGACCCAAAGGAGTGCGTGCTCTCAAGATCAGACAAAAGCGATCATGGCAGTAGAATTCAGAACAGTGGTTGTCTTAGGGTCAGGGAGGACATGGATCAGAGGAGAGCACAAGGAATTTATGGGGTGACGGGAATGTTCTACATCTCGATGTGGCAGTGGTGGTTACACCATCATACCATTGGAAAAGACATAGTTTTCGCCAAACTGTGTGTTTAACGTCTGTGTACCTTATTGTATATAAGTTGCGTCTCACTAAAAAAAATCGTGACTTAGTATTTGTTACTATGCCTGTACCAGTATTCATAGTTGAACACTGTTGTATTCAAGAATTTTTTTCTCTTCTTTAATTTTATGTTTCCTGATAGAAATTATTTCCTGAAAATAATTTTTCCTTTATTTCCTAAAGATAAGTCCCTCATCTTTTTTTTTCAATTGCTTAATTTTCTCTCTACCTATTAGTGATTGTTCCCATGTATTCTTAGTACACATACTCCAAGTGTACTAAGTCACACCAGGTGATCTGTCAGTTGGCAGTTCTTACCTTGAGACATGCCCAACCACGGCTCTACAAGTTCACCAATTCTTTTCGGTCTGTGCCAACTTTGTTCTAAGGCCTGTTTCTACAGCACATGGAATCCCTTTTGATATTCCTCTATATGGGACTATTTCCTGTGTCTCAAATCTTCTTTCTTGGTGAACTTCCCTGTTTTGATGGAAGACATTTCATGTTTGTTTCTTCAGATTAAAAAGTCATTCTGGGAACAGAGGGCACACTAGTGATAGCCCTCAGTAAGTCCAGCTCTTGACCTCTTGACTCTAGGGCTCTGAGACACACTGATTGATGGGTCACCATTTTGTTCATGGTTGTCATCCTGGAATTGCTTTCTTTTTTTTTTTTTTTTTTAAAGAATTATTTATTTATTTGACAGAGATCACAAGTAGGCAGAGAGGCAGGCAGAGAGAGGAGGAGGAAGCAGGCTCCCCGCTGAGTGGAGAGCCCGATGCGGGGCTCGATCCCAGGACCCTGAGATCATGACCTGAGCCGAAGGCAGAGGCTTAACCCACTGAGCCACCCAGGCGCCCCCTGGAATTGCTTTCTCATCTTCCTGAAAACTTTCTTTACTTCTGTCCTGTGTTAGATCTTTTGTTTCTAAATCCCATGTCTTTCTTGTTCTTGGTTTACTCTTTTACTTCTGTGGAATACATTTTTTAGTGGCTTTTTGGGAAAAGATACATGGGGAGTAACTTGCTTATTTATTTTGCAGTCCTTTCAAGTCTAAACATTTTCCATCCTAGCGTTATACTTAATTGATAGTCCAGATGAATATAGAATTACAGGATAGAAATTATTTTCCTTAGAAATTTTGATTTTTCCACTATTTTCTAGTTTCCAGGACACCTCATTGAGAAATCAGAAGCTACTGTGATTCCACATCTTTTGCGACTTGCCCCTACCCACTCCCCCACACTCTGGAAGGTTGTAGGATCTTTCTCCCAAGAGTTTGGACATTTCATGACAGTATACCTTAGTGGGAATATTTTTAACCCACTGTGCTAAGCACTGGTGGGCCTTTTTCCATTTGGAAAATTCAGTTCTGGAAAATTTTTCTTGAATAATTCAATTTTCCTTTCCTCTTTTTGCCCTCTTTAGAATTCTTGAACTAATCTTTATCTTTTATACTCCTGCTTTTCATGCCTTTGACTTTTTGCTCTGCTTTTTGGAAGTTTTCTTTAGGTTTATTTTCCTAACTTTCTATTCATGTTTTGTTTTGTTTTTTTTGTTGAATTTCTGCTCCCATGTTTTTGGTTTTGAGAAGCTTGTTTTGTTCTTTCAGTATTTATTTTTAATAGTATCCTGTTCTTGTTTCATGAATGTCATATTACTTCCCTGAGAGAAATAATGATAGTTTTTTGAAATCTTCATTTAAAAATTTTTACAAGCATTTAACAAAGTGCTTAATTACAAAGCATTTACAAGCCTTTAGTTAAACTGTAGTTTTTACCAGAATATAAAATGGTCTGAAACAGTCATCTGCAGTGAATATAGTTTTGGAAGAAAGCATACTTCATCAAAAGTAAAATATCAACTTTCAAATGTTCTTCTCCAGAATTTCTCATTTTCCACTTAGGGGAAAAGAGCAGCATTTAATTACTGTAGCCCTTGCATATGGGAATGTCTGATAGACTCTACCGGGTTTTTGACACAAATTGCAATATGCAGAATAATAAGGCCAGTCTCCTCCCATACCACCAAAGAGCACCAACCAGGGTATAAGTATTTCTCATAAAAGCATAAGAATTGTTATAAACAGTCTTATTCTTTCACACATTTTTTGCATAGTTCCCCTTAAGAAGCATATGCCGGCCTATGCAGCAGTATTTCCAAGGGTATAAAACCCTGCAAAAAAGTTTTATGCTACCAGGAAGCCACCGTAATTGGTTCCAATGTAGAGCCGGAAGTGACACATGCGACACACCACTTCAGTCTGGTGTTGGTGCTATGTGCAGAGACAGCCGGGACCAGCCACCAGACCCTTGGGCCCCTCGGGAAACCCAAACCTGAAACTTCTTTGGTCCACAGGGTATTTTGTTTTGAATTCTTTTCCCTACAAATTGCTTTTGTCTGTTGGTTTTAGATATCTCTGTTCGATGTTACTGTCATTACATGTCTGTTAATCTTTGGTACTCTCACGGTTAAGAAGAAGGAACTTGAAAGCAGGTGTGGTGGTTCAGAGCCTGAGGGGGATTTTTGTCTACAGTGAGCTCTGCTGTAGGGTGGTCTGGGAGATTCATTTGGGAAGCCGTGGTGTCTGTACCCTTAAGACTTCTCTTGGGCTTGTTGAATTCCCCAGAGAGTAATCTCCAGATTTTAGCCTGGAAAGGTCTGGCTGAGTAGGTTAATATATTGGGGCCCAGCATTTAATATGAATATAACAATGCCATGTCTTCAACTGTGCTGGTCAACTCTAGACAAAAGATTCTTCTAGACCAAAGGAAGGGCCCGTGCCGAGAGCTCTTTTCAAGTGGATCTTACCCAGTTCTCCCCATTTTAGGCCCCTCTCTTACCTCACAATTCTAAAGCTATCTACTTTTTCATATCCTTAAACCACTTAAGGATCATATGGTACAAATCAGGTGGGTTCTTAGATTTTCCCATGACCACTGTGGCATTCAGCCTTCTTGGATCTGCTAAGATACCACCTACTGATCTGTGCTCCAGCTTCCAAATTTCTGGTGCTATTGTCTCTTTTCTTATTTTCCCGCCATTGTAAGCTGCTCTCTTTTTAAAGCGTTTACTGTCGTTTTAGTGAAGCTCTGGGAAAGACAGAAATTAAATGTGTATGTTCAGCCTTCCCTCTTAACCTGAAAGTTAATAAATTTGCTTAAAGAGAATGTATTCAGAAGGGATGCATTATGTGTGTTATTTTTTATATTAAAACTTCATGCATAGGGTTTATTTCCAAGAAGCCCACAATACTTCCAACATGATGTAATCATATATTCCTTTCCTTCATAGTTGGGACAAGAAGAAAGATACGAATTACTCAATGTTCTGGAATTCACCAGGTAAGCCATCTGCTCTGTGATTTGTATCTATCCATAAGATAAATTCCTACATATTTTCGTTCTTTCCTTTTTAAGTAACTAGAAAGTTATGCTTTATTTTTTTAACTTAACTTATTTAGAATAAATATTAATTTAAATCTGCATTATAGCTTATAATTGTCATAGCAGCTAAGAAATCATAAACACCTATCTTCAGAGTATTGCCAGACATGACTCCTGGAGGCACCATAAAAATATTTTTGAACAAAGCAGGTCTGCATTACAACTGTGGGTTATAGGACCAGGATTCTCATGGCTGGTGATCTGGAAACATCGTTATACTTAGAGACAGCAGGATTTACGTGTACTGAATCCCTATCAAGAGTTAGGAACCCAGCAGTCTATCTATCTATCTTTGGGATTTCAGAAACCATACCCGTCCCTCTGTCAGGTATAAAACCAGTTACCATTTAGAAGGAAAAAGCAGAAATCAAGGAGCTTATCCTACTTAACTTTATTTTTTAAGGCCAAATAATAGAGACCTTCTAATAACAATCAGCAATATGTCTAGGAGTTGGCTTTTTATTTTTGCATGACTACATCATTTCCAAACTAATACACTCCTGAGGCAAATAGGCCTCCATTAACAGACAGGATAAGACAGGATGGTCTTTAAAGACTACATCACCATTAACAATAGGACACTTAAGGTCAGGCCACAGGCAGGAAGTAACACTTCACTGTTTAAGGAAATAAGTGTTCACTTACCTTCTTGAACTTTCTCCTCCATAAGGCAAGATTATACACTGACTAGAAAAGGCATTTCCTACAGTATGAAAGTTCCTCAAAAAGTTAAAAATAGAACTACTCTGTGATCTAGCAATTGTACTACTAAGTATTTATCCAAGGGATACAAAAAATACTAATTCAAAGGGACACATGCACCCCAGTGTTTATAGCAGCATTATCAACAATAGACAAATTATGGGAAGAGCCTAAGTGTCCCTCAACTGATGACTGGATGAAAATGTGGTAGATATACAAAATGGAATATTACTCAGCCATAAAAAGGAATGCAATCTCTCCATTTGGAATGACATGGGTGTAGCTAGAGAGCATTATCCCAAGCAAAATTAGTCAGTCAAAGAAAGACAAATACCATATAATTTCACTCATATGTGGAATTTAAGAAACGAAGCAAACAATCATGGGGGACAAAAAGAGAGAGGGAAACGAAGAAACAGACTTAATTATAGAGAACAAACTGATGATTACCAGGGGGAGGTGGGTGGGAGCATGGATTACGTAGGTGATGGGGATTAAGGAGGGCACTTGTGATGAGCATTGTGTGATGTATGGAAGTATTGAATCACTAAATTGTACACCTAAAACTGATATTACACTGTATGTTAACCAACTGGAATTTACATAAGCACAAAAATTTTTTTTTAAAAAACACATAGCTTACTGGAAAAAAAATAAGAAAAGGCATTTCCTTTTCAATGCCGGCTTTGGTTGTTGACTTGTTGGGAGTGACCACATGCCTTGGTTAATATAAAAAATAACAGGGTCTTTCTAATGTATTATTTAAACACTGTTTTCCTTACTTATATGCACTGGAAGGCTCAAGGGAAAATGCATGAGACATTGATGAGTAACTGTAATAGGTATTTCCAAAATGTATCCCCCACCTTTTTTTTCATGTCAAAGTGGCTGTTTTCCCTAAGTCTACTTGCATTATACCTGCAAATTATTTTAAGTAGTGTATCAATTAGCATTGGGTATGTTTGTTTATTAACACATACCTTGAAGATCCACAAAGAAAAATAAAGCAAGGTTAGGGGTTTAGGGTCTTTCAGGATGCAGTGATAGGGGTAGGCGTAAGGACGAAAGTGAGAAAAGTGACTATGTAGGTCTTCAAAGAAAGTCTGGAAAAAACATTAGTGGTTTGGACGAGGATGATGGTAGCACAAAGAAAGTGAAGTTGATAGACTCCAGATACCTTTTGGAAGAATGTCAGGGGGCCTTTGGGATGGACTGGGAGTGGAAGAAGAAAAGGGGGGGGGTTGGTGTCTCTGATGTGAACAGCTGGGTGGGTAGAGGGACAGTTTACACAGATGGCACATACAGGGAGAGGAATAGATGTGCAGGATAAGATGATTGAATCGTCCCGTTTGAGGTGCCCGTGAGATACACACATGGAGGTGTCGCAGGTAGGCAGTGGTTGTGAGGACCCAAACCACAAAAGAGAAGCCTGTGGCTAAGATTTCAATGTGGTCGTTGTTGGCCTGTCCATGGTAATCAAGCCACAAAAATGAGTTGGATCTCCTGAATATAAAATATAGAGTGGAGTGAGGGAAACAAGAAAGGCTGAGGATTGCGCTATGACTAACTCTAACTTCTAAGGGTTGATTAGAAGGTGGGGGGGGGAATCAGGAAAGGAGACTGTTTTGTGGTTAGAGCTGTGGAGGGTAAAGGGAGGGAAACCACGCAGAGCCAGGAGAAGAGGCTTTTTTTTTCTCCCCGAGGTGACAGAGGTCGTCTGTGTCAGAGACCACAGCAAGGTTAGGTGAGCTGAAGGGGGGATGTGTTTGCTGGGTTGAACCATTCATTGGGAGGGTCAGGAGAGAAGCCAGGTGGGAATGACGGGGGCTTATGGGGGTGGCACACAGAGGGGGCGCACATGAGATGTAAGCAGAGACTGTGCACATAGCAGTTGCTTGGGGTTGAGTTGTGAAAGGGATGTGGCTCCGGGAGGGTGGATTGTTTGGGCTGAGTTTCATAGGCAAGAGACTCCAATGTGTTTAAATACTGATAAGAGGATGCCATCTAGAAGGGGACAATGTACTCTCAGTGGAGAGCAGCATAACTTTAGGAGTGAGGTTACTGAGGAAGAGCGGGGATTCACAACACGAGGGAAAGGAAGGTCTCTGGGAGGAAAGGAAATACTTCCTCCGTCATCAGGAAAAGAGGCAGAGGGGATGATGCCCAGCAGGGAAATGCGTAAATGTATAGGTGTTAATGGCAGAAAGGATGAGAATTTCTTGTCTGAGGCTTCCATCAAGGTGAAGTGCAAAAATTGCAAGGGTCTGGAGGATGAGGGTGCATTAAAGACTTGGAGAATGGAGAAGGTGTTCAAGTCCTGCAGATGGTGAGAGAGAAAGCTTATTAGAGGTGGCGTGTCTCTAGACAGCACACAAGTGACTGTGGATCGTGAATTTCCTAGGAAAGCTCTGTGGCAGGAAGACTTTTCTCCACTCTGATGCCACAGAAAGGGTTCCCATTTACCCATGACTTGGGAGTTTTGCCAAGAGAAGGGAAGAGCAGGAAAGCTGAAGAGCTTGGGACCATCTCATTAAAGTTGGATTAAGAGAGGCACCAAGAAGGGCTGAGACAGACTATAAACTGTACAATGTCGTTGCAAAGAGGGCCCAATTAAATGTATTCCCAAAGTGCAGGGATGGCAGTCAGAGGAACCAATGCAGTGGGGATTAGAGTTGGAAACACAGAGGACTGAATATTTCTAGATGCCTCAGAAAGAAGCTCCTGGCTGTATGCAAGGACGCTGTATCTTGGCTACTTTGTATTGGACTCATCTCCATGTTTAGCAAATGTTGCAACGTAAAACAAATAGATACAGACACTTGAGAAGTCCCTTCCCCACCCCCCCTCATTTCTGGAGAGAATGCCTATCCACACTTGGTCCTAAATGAGGCATATCCTAGGCAGGGCTCTGCCAGTTTGTCTTACTCCCTGTTCCTTCTCTATCAATGCACTGGCAGATGCTGTGTGTTTGACTAACATTTTCATATCGCCAACACAGTGTTCAAACGCTTGTGCTCATCAGCTTAGCTTGGTAATATGAATAGATTTTTTTACATGCTGCCAGTGGTTTGCTAGAAATCATTGAAAAATAACCGTCGTGAATGCTGACGTCAGTTTTAAAGTGCCCGTGTTTGCCTTTCTCCGTGCGATTGGGTATATACTTAAAATGCATGACTATTTCTGTTTGCATTCAAAGCTAGAACATACACTTCATCTTAGATACTGACTTTAAGATTTTTTTAAACCTGAAAACATTGAACCAGAACTCTTTCCTGCCCCGGTGGGTCTTAACTCTTGCACGTTTCTCAAGGTCTCTTTTGTAAATTACCCCTTTAGGGAAGCAGATGGTACCTTAGTGCCTTAAAATACAGAATGTAACCTTTAGAGGTACCCAAACCACACACCCAGGGGATGGTTTGTAGATGTGGAAGGAGAGGGCTCATAATTCGGTAAAGTTTATTTTTCACTGTGAGTATTAAAATATGTGAGGCATGACAAACACACATATATATGCATATTCTCTGTATGATGACACATTATGGAAAACCTCTTTCAGCGCGAGAAAAAGAATGTCTGTGATTGTTCGCACTCCATCCGGGAAGTTACGACTTTACTGCAAAGGAGCTGTAAGTTTTTATTTTTGTCTTTTACAGTTTTGATTTATGGTGGTTTATAATGTATATGTTCAGCATTCTGCTATGGAAATGTAACACAGATGTTTAGCATAAAGTTGCTGACATCCACTTTCCTTGGAATTTTATAGTAATCGTGTTCAGCCTCTTCTGGTGAAATGCGGAATTCCTTCTGGGTAAATTTGGTGCTTTGAAAAAATTTGGCCTTGCTTCTTTATATAATTCAATTTTGATACCTAGTATTTGAGGTTTATATTATAAAATACATTAGAAGACAATTAAATCAGAAAATGCTTTGAAATTGTATTAGAAATGTAGGAATCCACACCAGTCTGAATGTAATTTTTTAAAGTCCATAGAAGCGGCAGTGGGGGGGAATGGATCCCAGTTTACTGCTGTATGGTCATTACTATTTGTCTTGCACTCTTTTCATCATAAAAGAATTTCTAACTATTGCTTGGCTTTGGTATATTGGCAGGTTATTTTGACAGAAACAGTAATATGTCATTTATAGTGATTTTTCCTAGATAAAATATGTTTACACTCATGGAAAAATAAGGAGTCAGCAGACCAGGGTCTCCTTTTGTTCCTACAATTACTATTTTCCTTCTGAATTACCTTTTCTGGGTACCTAGTCTGCTTGGGCTGGTCAAGTAACTTACCGACCTGGAACTTTCCAGTTTTAAATATAATCAACAACCTTGATTTATTTTTTTTTAAAGATTTTATTTATTTATTTATTTGACAGAGATCACAAGCAGGCAGAGAGGCAGAGAGAGAGAGAGGGGGAAGCTGGCTCCCCGCCAAGCAGGGAGCCCAACACAGGGCTCGATCCCAGGACTCTGAGATCACAACCCGAGCCAAAAGCAGAGGCCTTAACCCACTGAGCCACCCAGGCGCCCCAACAACCTTGATTTATTAAATGAAACTTGGAAATTGTACTTATTAGGAAACCAAAGCTTATTACTGAAATTTTTGTTGAAAATGTTTTTCAGTGCCATGGTTTTAAAGCATTGAAATGCAGTTTTTGAATGCCTTGCTTTTAAAGAATTTTGGTAGAATTTTTTCATGATGTCTCATAAGTTTAGTTTTAGAATTCCTCTTGTCATTGATTGAAACAACTAGTGTTTATTCACTGTGTGCACTTTACCTACGAGACTTTCAACTGGATTTTGGAGAAAGGAAGTTAAGACCCAATACTTGTCAGACACTAAGTCTAGTCAGGGAAATATATATAAAGAGATGTTTAGGTTACAATATTGAGGTGTATTGTAAAACTCTTCCACATTCCAGTGGTAGCGTTTAGTGATACAGGACTAAAGAAAGCCTTCCACTTGAAATACTTATGTGTCCGCTTTGCATCTAACTCACATCCTTCCTTCCTTAGTTTTGAGTAATCTTCCACCTAGAACCTTTGTTTGGGCAGTTAAAGCACTGAATAAAAAATAAAAATATTGGACTTCCTTTTTAAATAATCACGGAGATAGTTTGCATACGTTAATTTGCTTATTGCATTGTTTCCCCTCACCACCAAGTTGGCTACGAAACATGGTTGAATACTAAGAAGGCAGAGACATGTAAAACAAGGTACATTTGAGAACTGCACGTACTTTGGCCGAGAAGAGTACACGCGAGGCTGGAAAGGTGTTCATGCGTTAGGTCATGCATTTTTTTTTTTTGTACGCAAGAGCTTATACGTTTTAATGAACTGTTCTTTTTTTTTTTTTTTTTATACGCAAGAGCTTATACTTTTTAATGAACTGTTCTTTTTTTTTTTTTTCCTGAACTGTTCTGATGCCATTTAGGAAGATGACTCAAGGCAGAACGATGATGCATCCAGAGTTCCCCATTGATGCTCTTGAGTAAAGTCCTAGAGTTGATAAGGATCTGAACCAAGACAATTGCAGAGAGGATTAAGAAAACAGAGATTTAGGACTTAATAATTGATTACATTTGGGTGACAAGGGAAACCATGATCGAGGATTATTATCCGATTTGGACTTTGCTGAGCAGATGAAGGGGTACCACCTCCCATGATAGAGGGTTAGGAGCTACATCTGGGCCATGAGGCAGAGATGCTTGGATTTCACAGGGGAAGGAACCTGGGATGCTGGTAGAAATTTAGGAATTAACAAGCATAGCTAGAAGGTAATAGCAGGGGATTGATGAGGATATGTAAGGAGGAAATATTGTATGGAAAGAGAGGAGGGCTAAAGGTGTGGATAGAGGATCTAAAAAGAGAGACTGGAATTGGGAAGAGAGTCTGAGGAGTGTTGATTCCCTGGTGGAGTGAATCAACAGGGACATGTGCAACAGAAGACTTTAGTAGTGAGAGTCAGTTAAGGCCTCAGCGCTAATACCTTCCATTCAAGTTGACACAGTCTGCTCAAACTTTGATGTATCTCCTCTATTCCAAATTCATGACCGTGATGGATACAGTATAACAAGAGAGCAGAAATACAGAGCCAGGCTTAAAAACAAGATAAACATCTTTGAGGCCCCAAGTAGGAATAGAAAATCAGCGTGGTACACTGAACCTCGGTCTTGAGTTGAGTGGGGTGGGAGTCCTAGGGTCAGGATCTGGGAGTGGTGGTTACAGTTTGGTTTCTGTAAGCCAGTGGGGGCAAAGAGTGCTTTCTGTAAAATGTGGATGGGAGCCAGCCTCCCCTCTCTGATGCCTGAGACGATGGTGAGCTTCCTAATCCTGAGAAGGGACTCAGAAAAGCTCATGCCAACTCTGCTGGGGGAGTACATAAAGCCACTAGAATGGGGTGTCCACAAGTAGGGCAAAACTAAGAGACACAAGAGGAAATTTCATGCCCAAGAGAATAAGCATGTAAATCACCAGACATGAATTCACTTTGGGTGAAATCAGTTGTGTAGACAAGTCTGAACAAGGATGTCTTAGTGCAACATGATTTATTTTTTTTAAAAGATTTTATTTATTTATTTATTTATTTATGTATTTATTTGACAGAGATCACAGGTAGGCAGAGAGGCAGGCAGAGTGGGGTGGGGGAGAAGCAGGCTCCCTGCTTCCCCCCAATGTGGGGAGAGAGCCCAATGCGGGACTCGATCCCAGGACCCTGAGATCATGACCTGAGCCGAAGGCAGAGGCTTTAACCCACTGAGCTACCCAGGTGCCCCAATGCAACATGACTTAAAAAAAAAAAAATTGTAACTATTTTTAATCAAAAAGAAAAGGGGATGGGGATATGTGTAAGCTAAATTAGAAATCCTAAATTTAAAAGAAAACATCAGAAGTTGGGATAAACTCTAAACAGTGGAAGGGGCAGGGATGCGGTTAGTGAATTGGAAGATAGCACAGAAGAGTTCATCTGGAACATAACACAGACAGGTGATGGCTAGGTCATGTACATGTTTATGGATGATTTGTTTTTTCCTTGTTTTCCAGGTTTTCTGTAATGAGGTTGCCTTGCTTTATTAATTTTCACATGAAAAAAAGGAAAAATATACAATACACAGTTCATGTCTGCAATAGTAGCCAATTTAAGAAAAGTTACATTCACAAATAAAATCTGAATTTATTCAAGAAAAGAAAAAACCTCCCCCAATGCTTATAGACTAGAGGAAAACCTAGAAACTTGACTATCACACTTAGTGCTTTAGGGACCTTAAAGTGACTGACAGTTTCTAAGTAAGCGCCCCGCCCCCGAATAACATCCTGTGCCACACATCAGGAAGACCACATCCGAAATCAGTTATGTGCCCTGCCTATGTTCCCCACCACATCATAGGCAGAGTACGGATAAATCCGAATGGCACACACGAACGCAGAAAATGTCCGTCTGCATTTACATGTACAGCTGTCTGATGATTTTAGCAAATGTCCCAGATCACAGGGGCCAAAGGACCTTCCATGTGGCAGTCAGTTTCACCTTGTTGGGTAAACTGACAGCAAGATCAGAGTCCTCGCTGGCAGCTGCCTGCTTGGTAGCAAGATTACCTAGAAAAATTCGCTGTAGACCACAGTGCTTAAATAATGATGTTGGACCTCTTTTCTATTCGCTACCTTCTTACTGTTGGTGCTTGCATTTCATCATATAGTCCTTTATTTGGCAATATTGTATATGCTTTAGGATGACTGAGGACTACATCTGGTGTTTTACTCATGTGACACATGTTTTTTGATCAGCTGCTACGTGCAGGACACTGGAGGTGAGGACAGAGCAGCACTGGAACTTGAGTCTAAAAGATGAATAGAAAAACGACTTTTCAAGTAAAACTTGACCTAAGATGAATTATCCCTCGTGAAGCCCTAGGCTTTTTACTGGCTGAGCCAAGCCATCCCGGGAATGTCCCCTCATTCCCGATTTTCCGCTCTTACCTTGCTGAGGGCGGGGACGCCCCATAAGTAAAATCAGTTAGGATTTCCTGCAAGTGTAGACTCTTTGAGGTTCTGAGTCTGATCTTAGGGGATACACATGCTTTAGTTCCTGTGAAGAAACCTCTTTTGGTCTGAACCAAGTCCTAGCCGAGGTCCTAACCAACTACTTGATGTAGTGCTCTGAATAAATCAGTGTTACTTTGGGTGAGAGGTTATTTGTATGTATTTATTTCTCGCATGTAAGCATGGCCAGTTGTGACTTGTCCTTTAAAAACATACCATCTTGGAGCTCCTGGGTGGCTCAGTGGGTTAAAGCCTCTGCCTTCGGCTTAGGTCATGATCCCGGGGCCCTGGGATTGAGTCCCACATCAGGCTCTCTGCTCAGCAGGGAGCCTGCTTCTCCCTCTATCTCTGCCTGCCTCTCTGCTTCCTTGTGATCTCTGTCTGCCAAATAAATAAATAAAATCTTTAAAAATGATAATAAATAAAAACATACCATCTTCTCTAAAAAATTTTTTTAATTAAAAAATAAATAAAAAATAAAAACATACCATCTAATTCATGTAGAAGGCCACATTCTGTCTCCTCCTTTCCTTGATACTATAAAGAAAGTGAAAAATTCTGTTTCAAGCATCATTGTCTTCCACGAGAAAATTTGGCTACATGGCAGAATTTAATCTCCCTATCACTTTCATTTTCATGACTTCAATTTTTTTTAGAGATTTTCTTAATTTTAAAATGTCCTATTTTGATTTCATTGAAAATGTCATTAGCCTATGGAAAAAAAATAGAGTTCATAAATTATACCTTTCATTCCTAGAAAGGAGCCATGAGGGGAAATTATCATTTCCTTTTGCTTTGCCCCCCACTCCCATTCCACCACTGAAAAATGAAAAGAAATTCATAATTGGGGCCTGGAATATTCCATCTGTTCTGAGGTCACTAAGTTCTTGTTTCTCTCAAGGGTTCTAAATCATACTCCATTAGTCGGCTTCCAAATCTCAGCCCTGAGACTGGAGACCCCAAAATGGGTAATACCACTGAGAAAGTAATTGCAGGTAAATGATTTATTTTTTCCTAGTCTAATAAAACCATGGAGGCCAAATGCTAAAATTCTTAAAACATTAAACCCACGCTGAGGAATAGCTGAAGGAACAATAAGCAGTTTATAAAGGGGCAAAAATCAGAGAAACGTTAAGTGGTGCATAACGTTCAAGCTGAAAGGGACTTTAAAGATAATCCAGTAACTGAATTTCACAAACTAAGGGAATTGAGCTTTTAGAGGCTAAAGTGACACAATCAGAAATATTTAGCTATCAAGCAGGACTCAAGGTCTGTTCGAAGTTCTCCCTATAACACCCACCAGCCCTCTCTGCGCCATTTGGACCTATGTTTCTCAAAGTTTGCACTGTGGGAGCACCGGTCCCGTACAGATGCTCTAATCTCTAGCTCGGGCTCCATAGGGAATGAGTTTGGGGTTCATACCATATAGCCCCTTAGCGATCTGCTGTGCACATTAGCATTGTAAAGGCTCCAAGTAATTATCACAGGGCAGGCTTTGTTCAGCCAGTGTTTCTCAAACTTTATGAGTGCGGGACCTTTCTCCCCTGTGGCACCTGTGTATTTATAAGGGGCGTATACCCTGCAGTGTCCTGCAAAGCCTTCAGGGGTGGGGGAGATCTTGCAAGGTAAGGGAAGTCCTGGTGGACTCTGAGATGTGGAATGCTAGAGTAACTCTGGGTTGATTCACAAAGAAGAAAGACGAACATAGAGGACTCGAACCTTGTTTCCTAGCATCCTTAGGGAAAGAGTGTTATTAGGGAAAAAAATATTGTGCGCTTTATAACTAATGTTCAAAGTGATCAGTTGTTTTTATACTGATTTGCTGCTCATAATGTTGCCAACACCATTATTAAACTCAAAATGCTTCTCCTAAGTATATGATACCTTCTGTTTGTTTTCCAGGACACTGTAATATATGATAGACTGGCGGAGACTTCAAAATACAAAGAAATTACCCTGAAACATTTGGAGCAGTTTGCTACAGAAGGTGAGTGTAATGTAGCAATAAAGCATGATTACAATAAAATGAAATCATCTACTACTGATGTCTTCCAAGATTGTTGTTATTTTACTTAGAAAGTCCTCTAGCAAGATAGCAATTGATGCTGATAATTCAAGTTATCCTACATGCTGTTCCCATTATTTTTGTTTTGCTTTCCTATGTTAAAATTTTGAGATACTCGGTCCCCATGTTTTGGAGGTGTAGGGTCTATAAGACTCTTCCGTTTTTAGAATGGGTACCTCTTACACTTTAAATATGCTGTATCTCTAGCAGTGTAGGAGGAAGAGTACCCAAAAAACTGGATATTCTAATTTGAGTAAGAAAGAGAATAAAAAGTAAATAAGCCTATGTAACTATTAAAATAGTTATTTAGTGCAGTTTCATCGCAAGACTTCTTAAAGACTTCTAAAAACTTCTAAAAGACTTCTTAAGCCCTTACTGAATGACAGGCTCTGTGTGAGGCCGGGGAATCATGGTAGACAGGCTGAGTCCTGTCTCTCTGTCCTACTGAAATATATGATCTGTGCGACTCAGCAGTCTAGGGGGATGATCTAGATTAGATGGGAGGACATGAGCATCCTTAAACAGTAGGGTCACTTACTCCAAGCATTTGTAGAGTCTTATCTCTGAACTTAACAGAAATAGCCAAAACTATATCTAAATCTCCCATCCAGGGCTACTGCCTTTGCCTCAGGTCATGATGTCAGGGTCGTGGAATTGAGCCCCTCATCGGGCTCCTTGCTCGGTAGGAAGCCTGCTTCTCCCTCTCCCTCTGCCTGCTGCTCCCCCTGCTTATACTGTCTCTCTTTCTCTCTCTCTCTGACAAATAAATGAATAAAATCTTAAAAAAAAAATAAAAACAAAAATCAGTCAGTCAATCTCCCATCTAAATTATCTCTCTTGTCTGCCTGGGCTGGAACTGCTGCCAGTGGCAGTAAATCTGACCTCTGATCAAGTGCTTTTTCCTCTTCATCCCAGCTATGAAAAGATAGAAGAAGCACTAGGCTTTGAAAAGCAAGGACTTAGAGAACCTCCCCTCAGTTCTCCAAAAACACGAGAGCACAGAGACATCCGCGTTCATCCTCAGCGGGGCTTGGCAGGCACAGCCCAGCCGGCCTCTGACACCAGTTTTTTACTGAGGAAGGGAGTGGGGTGGGGGGGGGGGATCTTTCTCTTCTCTAGTTGTGGTAAGAAGATATTCCAGCTCTAAGAGCTGAGCTGGCTTGGCCTTCACCTCCACCCTATTCTTTCTGGCCCTAGGCTGAACAGCGCTTTTACTCCATGACTACCCCAGAGTAAGTCTCCAGCCAAGTTTCCAAAAGAGAAAAACATGTCCTGATGTGGCCCCAAAGATTTAAGTTCTACTCTCAGTGAGCTGGCAATGCATAGCCCTACTCCTTTCTTGGAAGACAGAATCCTCTGGGCACTTTATGTCCCATGTTCTCTGCTTCTTATTTCTGACATGTTCCCTGGCCATGTTTTATTTGCTTTGACCTCACTAGCTAGTTATTCTGAGAGTTAATGACCTTGAGTGAGGGTGTTGTCTTCTCAGGAACCTAATGAACTACATTTGTCCTGGCTGCTAAATGCTTTTGTTTCTTCTTTGTTCCAGTCCACCATTTTTTTCTGGCTGAGGGTAGCTTCCAAGAGAATTATGAAATTAATAGGCACCAAGCACTAGGAGTAGGTCACCTCAAACATCGGATTTGATTGTTTTCCCAGGGTGTTTCTGATGAGTCCTTTGTTTTGTCACTGTATCTCAGGTTTCTTAGACTTTTTTTATTATTATTTCAGGTTTTTTATTTAAATTCAATTAACGTGTAATGTATTATTCGTTTCAGAGGTAGAGTTCAGTGATTCATCAGTCTTATCTAATACCCAGTGCTTATCACATCATGTGCCCTCCTTAATGTCCATCACAGTTACCCCATCCCTTTTCCCTCTCCCCTCCAGCAACCCTCAGTTTGTTTCCTATGAATTAAGAGTGTCTTATAATTTGTCTCCCTCTCTGATTTTGTCTTGTTTTATTTTTTCCTCTCTTCCCCTATGATCCTCTATTTTGTTTCTTAAATATACTACAAACTTGCATTGAGAAAGACCAGTAATAAAACAACCACATATCCCTGTAAGAGGTAGATGGTTTTCCAGGTAAACTCCACTGTGGTCCCTCTCCTTCATAAGCACCTCTGAAGACACAGTCATAAGCCAGCCACTGTGCCTGGTCCCGGAGTTATACATATGAAGAATTCAGGGCCTCTTCCCTCCAAGAGCTATACACTAATACAGGAGATCCACAAGAAAAACAATATGAAACTTTGTCCTTCACACCATACAAGCATTTGGGGATTTCTGCCTCGGGTCTGAGCAAGAGGAGAATGCTTCAGAAATGATGGTAGGAACCAAGTCTTAAAGGAGATGCCAGGCAGACAGTGGAGGGAGCTGGAGGGAGCAAAATGGAGAAAATGTGACCAGCATGTGCAGAGACCCAGGTATATAGGAGGTAAAAGACAGAGAAGGAGTTTGAAGACACTTGGTACATGGGGAGCGAGTCAGCCTTTGGGGTCTGGACTCCATCCTGGGGATGAACAATTGAAAGATTTCTAGCAAAAGAATAACCTGATAAGGTCAGGATGTTAAAAAAATCACTCTGAAGAAAGCACAAAGGCTGTATTGAAAGAACCGGCAATCAAAAGCAGGGGGCCGGTTGAAGGTGAGCCTTGATCCACATTGTACGCTGAGGTTGTGTCCTAACTGAGCCAGACGTCAGCCATATTGCTTGAACTGAATCAGTCTTTCCAAAACGAGACTTCGTCATATAGAAAGGGAAGGGGCGGGCTTCTGAATGAAACCTAATTTGGTGTTGGGGGGATGTCTGCTACCTTTCGTCAGGGTTAAGAACTTTATGTTTCGCGGTTGCTGAGATTTCGGAGAGCGACTTTGAGGAGTGGCGCACGGTCTACCAGCGGGCGTCCACATCGGTGCAGAACCGGCTGCTGAAGCTCGAAGAGAGTTATGAGTTGATTGAAAAGGTACGTGAGAGACCATTTTGCTCATGTAGAAAGTCTGGTTTCCAGAAAAACTCAGTCTTTTCAAGGAGCCCATAAACAAAGATCAGAATATCTTGACACACCACTTACTGTTGAATCTCCTCTGGTCCGAACATTAACAAATCTTAATACCGGTTAAGGCTTTTGCTGAAAAGTCTCTGGCATTGCTCTGCATAGATCTTCCTACTTTTCATAACTTTGGGTCAAAGTTAGGCGAGGCTAACCGTCTTCTTGCCAATGTATGCTGTTGCTTCTGTGTCACCGAAGATAAGCATGTCCTCCCCCACACACTCGTGCACACAAGTTACATACGCATGTGTGTGTGCATAGAGTTGATCAAGGTGTATCGTGTGCAACAGGAAATAATATAATAAGCTTGTGTGACTCTAATAATAAGTGAACAACCCGGTGCTTATCCTGGTCAGTGTGTGTGTGTGTGTGTGTGTGTGTGTGTGTGTGTGTGTGTATGTGCATATACACCCATCCCTCATCTGCATCACAACTGAAAATGCTCTCATTTTACAGATAAGGAAACCAGGCTATTCATCCAAACAGTGATGGATACACTCTGATTGATACTTTATAAATAGCAAGAAATCTTGCTTCCTTAATTAAAAATAACATTAATTAAAAATTGCAAGAAATAGCAAGAAATCTTGTTTCCTTAATTAAAAATAGCATAAATAGTTATACTTACTGTGGGCAAGGTGCTGTTCGGAGCCCTTGGATCTATTAACTGCTTTGATCCTCACAGTGTCCCTTTGAGCTAGGTACTGTTCATTCCAGTTTCACAGACGAAGACATCGAGGAAACAGAGAGGTTAAGTGATTTGGTGGAGATGACACAGTTCAAAAGAGAGCGAGCCAGAATCCTCCTTCTGGCTCCAGAGTTCATGCTCCCAGCCACTTACGTTATCTTCCTTCTTACCTTTCCCTTTCCATCAAATAACTTCCTAATTGCAGAATTCCTTAACTATATTCATGTTTGTACTGCCCAGAATCAGGTTTGTCTGTTAGTTTCAGCTGATTGGATCTTGCCTACAGGTAAGTAAAAGATAACATTTTTTTTTTTTTTTTTTTTACTCCTCCCTCTCTTTCAAACAATATGCTCCCTGGTGCTTCCTTTCTTAAAAGGTGGTTGGCACCACCAATGCCTCCCTTCCTTGCTCTGCTCCCTGGGTGCCCTCCCCTCTGTGTGATACTGGGGAATGCTCCACCCAGCTGCCAGTGGTTTTCTCTGCTGTGTACAGTAGCCATCTGTGATTCTAGATACCGTTTCTCCTGTCTCTTCAATAGACCGTGATCACTTTAGAAGCTGGTTTCTCAGACCTTCGTTATATTTGAACTTATTTTTGTATCCTGCTTATTTCTCAGAAGATGTGTGATAGCATGTATGGAAACTCCAGCTTAATATTCATCTCCCAATTGTAGAATTACACACACAGCTTTCTCTCAGTTAACTTGCTGAATCATTCTCTCTCTCTCTCACTCTCTCTTTTTTCCCTGACATATTTATATATGACTATGTCTTTGGGGCATTATGTGGCAAAAGAAAATATTTTATGATTTATAAGGCCATGGCCATAGTCTCTTCCAAGCTCTCCCACCAGAGGTACATGTTGTCCTAAAGTAATAGCAACATTGATTTTTAATCTGTTACTTTTCTTAATTCTTTTGAGAACTAAAAACAAAAAACTACCGTTTGGGAATAACTTTTCTCCTATCTCCTTAAGTACACAGCCTGAAGATAATGTAGCTTTTACCTTCCATGGCAATGTGGTAGAATTAATATACAGTAAGTTACAATCAAATATTTGAAACTGGATTCTAAACATTAAATTTTGTTTCTATAAGAAGCACACTGTCAAATTCTGGAGCTGAATATTTAATATGCCTAATAACATTTTTTACTCTGAATGCCCTGAGGTTTGTAGATTAGATTTTATAGGTTTAACAGTTTTTATTGTTGTTGGGGTATATGTGTGTATGTGTGTGCACACAATATCTGATCTTTAAAACCTTGTGACTTCCATCTTTTTAATGAAATAGATGTTCAGGCTCTCTCCAGCAGATGGCAATCGTGAGTCACATGGAAATTTAAGTTGCCTGGGGACATGGTATTACATGTATATTTTTAGTTTACAAATACAGATGCCTCCCTCTGACTGCCTCTTTCCTAAAATGGATGAAAAGGATAATTTATACCTATTTCCTTTTTACTTTCTGATAATCCATGGTCTCTAAGTTTTACTGAAACCTGGAAATGTGAAAGGATTGGTTCCCTTGCTCAGCCAGCTTCCAAAGAACTGGTTTGCAGTGTCCATCCCTGCCCCCAAAACCATAATTTCATTCAAGTATTGATTTCATTAACTTTAATTAGACTGCTAATAGATGTTAGGTATTGAGGAAACACAAGCAAACAAGGAACACTCAGCTGAGACCCTGAGCATCATGGTCTGAACAAATTCCTTAAGTAAGGAAATCTAAAGGAACCCGCAGTGTTGACCCACAAACTTGTCCAGCGGAAGCCCTCAGAGAGGTGGTAACTTTTAAAATGAAACCCAGAAGTTTATTTTACCAGTTAAAGGAGATCAGGGAGGGGCTTTTGGGGGGGGGGTTGTTTTTGTCTTTGTTTTACTATGCAAAAGATCACAGGTCTTTTTAGGGAAAAGTACAGGCACAAGACACTGACGAGTCCATGACTGAGAGTGGTTTTTCCGACAAACCTGCTTTTCCCATCCCCTATCACTGGAAGACTCTTGGGTTTTTAGTGGAGAGCCAGGACGCTATCGCTCCTTCCCTGGTCTGAGCTTCCTTTGTGAAAATCAGGGGGGGGGCGGTAGTGTTCCATAGGAATTGGGGGTGACTGCCATTAAAACTACCCAACTGAGGCAAGTTTCAACACATCAGAGCCCAGATCCTGCTGGTGCATTGCCCAGTTTCAAACTCAGTGCCTTAGCGTTAGGAGTCAACCATTTTGGCTTCTTCTTTGGCTACTTTAAATGAGACGTGTTGATTATATAATCTTTTTGCATGTGATTGGAATCTGTTTTTTATGCAGACCGTAAGATTGAACTTCGTTCCCATAGGAGACAGTGAATTTTAAACCATGAGAGTCGTTTTTAGATCTTTTTTTTTTTTCTTTAAGAGCAAAACCCATTTCTCAAACAAAATATTGCCTGAACCATCGTATATATAATAGATAAAAGCAAAGCTGCCCTGTTTAAAGAGTGGAGGGGCAGGGAGGAGCCCCACGTTGGCTCTCCCCTTAGCCTCAGCACTTTGCCCTCATCATGGTCTGTGAGGAGTTTTTTCACGATTCTGGGGTTCCACTGAGCACTGTTTGGAAACCATATAATATTCTATCTGTGTGTGAAATTTTGGGGAAATGTGCTCCTCAGAATACTATAGATTTTCAATACTTTTCACTTTTCAGTGAAAGACCAAATCAATGTTGTGGCCCTATACAAGATGTTTCTGAACATATTTGAATTAATGATGCAAAATGCCATCGACACGTTAGCGGTAGTGTTAAGTTAAAGTCATTCAAAACTTGAAAGATTTGTAGAGCTTTTCCTGAAAAGAATATTTTTAATATGTTATAAAATAAGTGAAAACATTACAAATGATGAAGGTTTTACTTCTAACCTTACTCTCTATCTTATCTCTCCAGTGTTTGCTCAAACAAGTAATTCAGTTTTTGAAATTTGGTTAAAGCCTTATTCCTTTGGGTGCTATAAACTCCTAGCATAAGCTGCAAAACTATCCAAACAGACCAAGAACATCCAAGAAGATAATGACATCGGCCCCTTGGCACACTGCTTTGTCACTTTTCTTTCCCAGCAATCTGAGCACTAGAAACTACTCCCTTCATCCTCCAGGACACTAAAAGGAAAGAAGGAAATGAGAGAGGTCTGAAGACGTCCTCTGGATCTTGTTTTCCCTATTGACAGTCATTGTTAGAGGAGAAGATTTAGGACTTCATCCATCCATCTATAAAATAACAACATTGGGACGCCTGGGTGGCTCAGTCGGGTATGCCACTGCCTGCGGCTCAGGTCATGATCCCAGGGTCCTAGGATCGAGTCCCACATTGGGCTCCTTGCTCAGCGGGGAGCCTGCTCCTCTCTCTGCCTCTTCCTGACATTCTGCCTACTTGTGCTCGCGCTCTCTCTCTCTCTGACAAATAAGTAAATAAAATCTTTAATAATAATAAAATAACAGCATCATCTTTGCTATCAGGTGGGATGATATGAGCTCTAACACTTGCATTCAGATGGTAAACTTTTCAAAAAACTTAAAAAAAAAATTCTAATACTATGAGTTGTTTCAAGATGTTCCTGAAACATCTTTTTTTCTGTTACTACATGTAGGCCAAGAGGCAGCATTTATTCCTCGGAAGACAAAATCATACAGGAACAAGAAGGTTTCCCTAGTTCAAGTGCAAACGGGATTAATTAGAATCCTATCAGGTGGGGCACCTGGGTGGCTCAGTGGGTTAAAGCCTCTGCCTTCGGCTCAGGTCATGATCCCAGAGTCCTGGGATCGAGCCCCACATCGGGCTCTCTGTTCGGCAGGGAGCCTGCTTCCTCCTCTCTCTCTCTGCCTGCCTCTCTGCCTACTTGTGATCTCTGTCTGTCAAATAAATAAAATCTTTATAAAAAAAAAAAAAAAGAAAGAAAGAATCCTATCAGGTACTTGAGGTGTCTTGACCCAGGTTAGGAAGGGAGACTGTGGTATCGCTTTGGGTTTTATGGAAGGTAACACCTCTTTGCTTCCTCACCACTTCAGAGAACTTAGCTGTCTCAGTCTTTCAGAGAATATTCTTGATCTGCTTTACCTACTTTAACCTTATTCATTTGAAAGACAATGTGTTTGGACTCGTAATTTTTGATTATGAAACCACTTAATAGTGTTGGTCTGCATTTTTAAAAATCTGATTTTTAAAATAAAATTTAGAATTAATTTATGTGTTGGACCAGG